GGTAGAGAGACAAACTCTTATTTATTTAGGTTTTTCTATTTAGTGTCTTGTACAGGATAAAAATATTTTTTTTATATTTTTTCATCATTTATTATACATTAATTTACATGAAAAAATAAAAAATTAATATTAATTTTAATATTTATAATACATAATATTTTTTATTAGATAATTAGTAAAATTAATATCAATTTTCAGTTTTATTATGTATATTAATAATAAAAATATGAAATAAATATACCCTTATTTTGTACACATAAAATAAAAAAAACTCTATTTATTTTTAGTAAACTTATTTTAATTTTTAAAATTTATATTTTAAAAATTAAAAAATCAAATTAATTTTTTTTGAATGGATTTACATTTGAGTTGAGGGATTTAAACCCAACCCAACCCAAACACCTTACAACCCAATTTATAGCTGTTAAGGTGTAAGATCCAGGTGCAAATTAAATTTATTAAAAATAATCATAAATAATACTAAATGTACTGAAAATATTTAAAACCCATTTCGCTTAACCATGGTTAGTTGACATTAGCATGCAGGGGTCGTGGTTTGGTTGGTTGAGTGTTATCAATACAACCCACCTCTTTCTTGGTTCCTTAGGTCGGTTAATTATGGACCCACCAGGAGTCTTGGTTCATGGGATGTTTCAAATATTGTGTTTGGGTCATCCATGTGGTCCCGTTGTGTGGGGGTTTGCTCCTTCTGGATAACTTCACCCTCTCTCTCTCTTTCTCTCTCTCTCTCTTTTCTACTTTGACTTTTGAATGTGAAGCAATGTGGCAGATAATCGATTTCGTTTATCTGGGTCATCCGTGTGGGCCGCTGTATGGTCCGTGTGGTCAGTGTGAAGCAATGAGGCGAGCGAAGCCATCGCTGAAACGGATTTCGTTTTTTTTTCTTCTTTTTTTCACCACCGAAACCAATAGTTGAATTTTCAATTTTTTTGATTTCGGTATTTACCGAACTTCTTGTTGTAGAGTGGAGAATGGAGATAGGACATCGGAGAAGATGAAAAAGGAGGAAGAGGGGTTAGAAGCAGATAATATTATGAAGAAAATGGGAGGAAAAAAAACATGATAATATGATATGCAATCTTTTATAGTTGTGAAAAATCATAAAAATCTGTTGTAGGTTGAAAAGAAATCATAAAAATCTGAAGAGGAAAAGAAAAGGGAGATTGATGCAATGGCAGTGGAGAATAAAGATGATTGAGGGTTTTTTCTTTTCTTGTCTTTTCTTTTACTTGTATCAAATCTTTTGGTCCAAAAAATTGGCCTAAAAATTGGGCCTCTGTTCGGTTGATTTGGTGGCTCTAATTGGTTTTTGGTTTATAAACTTTCAAACCGAAACCAAACCGATAAGCTTATAGGTTAATGTCAAAACCGAACTAAAAATACCAACTACCGATTGTACCAACCCGAATTCAAAATTTTGGGTCAGCTATCAGTTATTCATTCGGGTAAGCACCTGAACGCCCACCCCTAAGCTAGTCTTGCATAAATTGCATTTTTTTTTAAATTATAAATAAAAAATATACAGTTAAGATCAGAGGTCTATTTCTTTATTAATTATTAAAGGGTTTTTCTAAACATAAGATAAAGGTGTATTCATTGCACAATTTTATTATTAATACACATAACATAACAGAACTAAAAGTTAATATTAATTTTATTAATTGCCCAACAAAAAATATTTATATATCATAAATGTTAAAATTAATGCTAATTTTTTTCTTTTTCTATATAAATTAATACATAAAAAATAAATTTAACACTTCTTTAACTTGTGTCCTCAGAACAAAAATTAAACAAACTTATTATTAAAAGAAATGTAATCCATGCAGAGCAAATTAATTACAATCGGTGTTCTTAAGTAGATGCTTTTCTCTTCTTTTTTTTTTTTCCTTTTTTTTTTTAAGCTGAATTGTATAAAAAGATTGTAACCTAAAGGACAAAAATACATAAAATTTTAAAAAATGAATCTTACTTTAGTTAATTTATTAATGATGTTTTGATATTTCCACACACTCAAGATACAAATTAAACAAACTCATTATTAAAAGAAATGCAATCCACGCGAGCAAATTAATTACAATTGTGTTCTTAAGTAAATGCTTTTCTTTTTCTTTTTCCTTTTTTTTTTTTTGAGCTGAATTGTATAAAAAGATCATAACCTAAACAATAAAAATACATAAAATTTTAAAAAATGAATCTTACTTTAGTTAATTTATTAATGATGTTTTGATATTTCCACACACTCAAGCCCAGGAATAACCCTCATTGCTGCCCTTCCACACGCTCCTTTACTTCTCCTCCCAACCACCAACAAGGAAGATAGCGAGTATATGAATATGATGAGGATGAAAAAAGACTGGAACAAAAATGGAGCTGTGGACATTGGCATTGTCCATGGCAAGGACAATGCATCCAGCTCTGCAAAGTTCTGATAATGAGTGAACTTCAGCTTTCTCAACTCAAGTTAGAGAGAAATATGAATTCTATATCTTATTCCTTTTGACATCACCAATGTCTTCAAGGCAATATGTAGATTCTTTACACACATCCGTAAAGCTTTATCAGCAGAAGACATCCAAACAGCACAATGGATCATTTAAAGAATTTACATGATGGGAACATCATAATCTGATGAATATCAACTACCTATATAAGATCATAAAAGCAACTAGTTACAAGGAAAATTAATTGAGTGCCTCCATTCCATAGTTTCATTTCTATTTTGTGATGGGAGAATGTAATCTAGGCATGGATATTATGCTTTGCTAATCTGGAAATATTGAAACATAGAACTACTTTGACAAATTATCTATGTCATGGGATTATCTTCTTTGAGGGAAGCACAATTGCAGCTACTAGATTATTCTCTAGTCCTCTACGTTCATCGATAATTAGCCTAAGGCCTTCAACATGAAGTTTTGCATGGTGCCCACTTACCACAATTGCTTCACTTAGCTACTAAGAAAACATCCAACACCAAAAACTGGACTTCAATCAATTCCATAATCATCAGAAAACCACATTATCATATTCATATCTATGAGTTGAATTAAAATGCACAGCAAAAAAATAAAGAAGAAAACAAAGTGCAGAAAAACAGCAAACACAGCAATTTACGTGATTCACTACCACAATTTGTGATAGCTACATCCACAAGAGAAGGAGAACACCAAATCCATTATGAAATCAATGATTTACAAGAGATTTGAATAGCTTAAATTACTCAAACCACACTCCAATAAGAGTCCCCAGTACACCCAAGCTCGCTCTACTCGAGAAAACCCTTTTGATCTTAAAAGAACCACCTTGTTTCCTCTTATGGTGGCTGCTGACTAACTCTCACCCCATTTACCCTAAAAAAAGCTCCTTTATATTTATAGAAGTATGAAAGGATAATATGGTAATTCCAGAGAAAACCCAAAACGCATAGCCCCACTAAAATATATTTGAGAGCTTTTAAAACTGCATTTTCTGGTATGAATAATCTGGTATATGCCATAATTACACACCTGCATGACTGGTTTCATAATTTGCTGCCAACTTCAAAAAGCTTTAACATGATTTCAAGGCATACCTCACAAATCTCCACCTTGACTTGAAATTCATCAAATTTCCCATAATGAATTTATCCTAGCTCAATCCTTCTCCATGCCCTAAAAGGCTCTTACAGCATCATGCCGAGCAAGTTCAAGCAACCTTGCTCACTGGGAGAGACTTTGTCAACATATCTACTGGATTGTTTTTAGTATCAATCTTCTTCACAATAATCTCACTAAAGGAGACTACATCCCGAACAAAATGAAAGCTCACATCAATGTGCCTTGTTCTATCATGAAACATGGAGTTCTTAGCCAAACAAATAGCACTTTGGCTATCACAATGCACATCAATAACAACACAATCCAAGTTGAACTCCCCAACAAGTCATCTCAACCATACTGCCTCCTTAAAAGCCTCTGTAATTGCCATGTACTTTGCTTCAATAGTAAACAAAGCTACTGTACCTTGCAAAACAGCTTTCTAGTGGATAGCACTACCACTAAGAGTGAAAACATAACCTATCAAAGACCTCCTCCTATCAACATCACCGACATAGTCTGAATCAACATAGGCTTGCACATATGTCCCATCTCTCTTGAATTCAAGACAAGTTGTTGTAGTACCTTTCAAGTATCTCAAGACCCACTTCACTGCTGTCCAATGTTCTTTACCAAGATTAGACATATACCTGCTCACAACACTAATTGCATGTGAAATATCCAATCGAGTACAAACAATAGCATACATCATGCTACCCACAGCATTAGAATATGGAACACGAGACATGTATTCAAAATCTTCATTTGATCGAGGACATAACTAAGCTAACAATTTGAAATGAGATGTTAAAGGAATACTCACAGGTTTGGCATCTTTCATGTTGAAACGTTCAAGAACCTTCACAACAAATTGCTTTTGTGAAAGCTTAATTGTTCCACCATGCCTATCCCTACGTATCTCCATACCAAGGATCCTTTTTGTGGGACCCAAATCCTTCATTTCAAACTCATTATTCAACTTTTTCTTTAACTTGTCAATGTCTTCCTTTCTCTTGGCAGAAATCAACATGTCATCAACATAAAGTAACAAATAGATGAAAGTGCCATCATCAAGCTCTCTAAGGTAGACACATTGATCATACATGCTTCTATCATAACCATGACCCACCATAAAAGAATCAAATCTCTTATCCCTGTTGTACTTATGATTTTGATGATATAAAACACATTTGAGTGACTAATTGGTTTATTTAAGTGTGTAGTTAAATTGCTAAAAGATTGCAAATAAACTTAGACTACACTAAAAATAGACCAAAATGATTGAAAATGTACAGATAGTCAGCTCTTAAAACCTACAGCCAACTTTGGTGAAATGGAAGTGTAAACAATTGGCTTAAAGAAGTTGCAGCCAACTGTGGAAGTGTAGAGAGCCTGCTCTAGAAGCTATAGCCGGCTCTACTGGTGAAAATTTGAAGTCTATTGTTTGGTGCGCGTGGAAAAAGGATGCTAAGCTGGCTGTAAGGGTGCATTTAATGCACAACGGTCAAGTTATTTGAAGATTAAATAATTTTTGCAAAGTCGGAATCCCAAAGCCAGCTTTACGTTTTGCAGCCGGTTGTCCAAGAAAACAGAATGGTAGGAAACCCGCAAAGCCGGCTGTAGAGCCGGCTTTATAAGTGTAAGCCGACTGTGCTGACAATTCTGCAACTTGAACTATGCAACCTGCAGAGCATGTAATGACTCCCAACAGTAACGGCTATTTTTTATCATAGGGTTATAAATATAGTTGGTAGAAGATCTGGAACAAGTTTTAAAGCATTGCATTGAATATCGTACCTACATGTGCTTTAACTTGAGTTTTTTTATCTTTGAGAGATCTTTACTTGTAATCCTCTTCTTGTTCTATTTGTGAGTGATCCTGGAGCTGCGATTAATCCTTCAAGAGTAATCTATAGAGAGGATTCTTAGGGTTTATATTGTAAAGAGGTGAGATTTGAGAGAAATACTTATCTTCTTGTAAAAGGATTGAGTGACTCCTTTAAGCCACCCTTGTTTTCTTAGTGGAGAGTGTGGTGGAAATCCTTGGCGAGTGAAGCCAAGGTAGAGGACTAGGCTTCAAGTGGTTGGACCGAACCTCTATAAAATCATTGAGCAAGCTCTTCTTCTCTACTCTCTTTAATTTTGGTTTTGTGGTTGCAAAAATGGAGAATTTTTGGAACTCCAATTCACCCCCCTCTTGGAGTACATTGAGTCAACAAT